TTGATTAAACAAAACTACTTTGACCACTACAACGTGTATAGTCTATGTGTGTCTCTGCTAATTCCCAATTAACAACAGGTTATGGGCCCAGACACTATCACCACAGCGTAACTGAACTGAACAACCCACATCTTGTTTCAACTTGTTCAACAATTTGATCTGTATCTTTTGCCTCTATTATTTTGTCTATCGATCCCCACAATGCAAAAGGTGCTGAAACTGTTAGGCAAGCTGTATAGTAACAGCACAGAGAGAAGTTCCTCGTTCACTTCCTAAATTGCTAAATTGGCAAGCTTGTCCACAGTGTCCAAGAATTTGGCAATATGGTTGTGTAGATCTCCTCCTTCATGCAACTTCGTGAAAATTAAGGTCTTTATTAAGGATTCCTTTTTTGCTGGTCCTTGAGACTGGTAAATGGATTTGAGTTTTTCCCAAATTTCTTTCAATGTGCAGCAATTTCGTATATGTTTTAGTTCAGGCAGACTTAGGATTAATATCAGGCTTGATCTTGCTTTACGGTCATTTTTTGTCCAGGTGTCATTTATTCTAATCGAGATTCAGGATTACTGGCGATAATGGCGGAACAAGGTTATCATATTCCCATTTGCCATCCCTTTCAAGTATGGCTTCAGCTTGAAGACTCCACATATCGTAGTTTTCTCAATTTAACAGCTCAACTTTAAATGAATTCATCATTGCAGATGAGAGGATTGATAGACAAAATAATAAAGGCAAAAGATACGAACTATGTTGTTGAACAAGTTCAAACAAGATGTGGTTGTTCAGTTCAGTTACACTGTCGTGATAGTGTCTGGGCTTATAACCTGTTGTTAATTGGGAATTAGCAGAGACACACATATACTATACACGTTGTAGTGGTCAAAGCAGTTTTGTTTAATCAAGGAATTGATGTACAGTACAAATAAGTCTCTACATAACTGTGGAATGAACGTCCACATGTGTTGACAGATTGCAGTCAGAACAAAGAACAAAGTGTCATAAAACTTTCTATGGTCCTTGGGAAGATCCCTCTAGTGGGCCAAATTGGTATGTGTTGAGAGTACTGACAGAAGCTATTTCTAGCACCACCAACTTCCTGTTCCAACATATACATCACTCATCATTCAACAGACCCACATTGCTATGTAATAGTTACCAATTGAAACACCTTTGCTCAGTTACAATTGCTGAGTTTGCCGAATGCAGCCAATTATAACTTCCATTATATTATAAATTACAAATATTTCACCAGTTTTATTGGAGTTACCAAAATTCATTGCATTGAAGCTAAAAGGTAATATTTATTTATTTATTTTTAAAACTTTATTCAAAAATTATTTAGAGGCAAGGCAGTAAGCTGAAAGAAAGTGGTTCCTCACATGACAGAACAAACAACAATTGAAATTAAATAAGAAAACTAATAAAAATATTTACTACTTATAACTAAATATTAATAATTATTAATTAAAATAAATATATAATAGTTACAAGGGTTTTTTTTCAACCTGCACTGACCCAGAATAGAAAAACAAGAATGAAGAACAAAACCACTTTATTTGTAGAAGGTAGTTACAGCCTTCACCTTTTTTCCACATAATTGCTTTATCAATTCAGGCAGACATCATACCTTAACACCAACTTTTGTATACTCATATTGGAGAATGTTGCCGCCAGGCCATTCAGCCAACCTTTAACACTGTCAGTCAGTGGTATACAGTGTGAACCTTGAAATTTGAGGAAACTCCTCACTGAGCTTAGAAATCATAAACTGATGCCTTTCTAGCACCAATCAATCCACTTTTTCCACCAAATCATCGGTCACCATACACTTCTTCCCTTGACTGCCCTCATCATGAACATTGTCATGTCCTTGTTTGAATTTCCTGTACCATTCACACACACATCCATAGCTCATGAGGTTCTCACCATACACATTACACATCCTTCAATGAATTTCACCTCCATTCAGCCCTTCAGTCTGTAGAAATCAAATTACTGCTCATACTTCACAGTTGGCAGGAGACTGATTGGTGGCATCATCTTTACGTGTTTACTGCAGAGTAGCAAATGTCTAGTTTGGCACAACACTAAGTGGTGAGGGAATATACTACTTACTATGTGTGCACCCTGTCCGTCTCACATGCTTCCAATTTTTTTCATGCGTTAGTGGAGGTTGGAAAAAATTACCCTTGTATTTTCATATAAATTTTAACAATTTACAATAAAATCATCAAAATTAAAAAAACAATAGTGACTTTTCTGGATTTGATATATTTCAAGTAATAAATATGTAATCAATAAATAATTCATCTAAATTTTGTTTGAATTTAAAGCTATTTTTTAAATTAAAATCATTAACTACATTTTAGTTATCCAAAGTAAAAACAAGATATGAATCTAATTACTTAAATCTCATATTTACCTAGAATACCAATGGCAACAAAATTTAGTTTGTTAAATTGAATATGTGTAATAGTTACAATGACTTACCTACTCCATAAATGCATATTCAATACATACAATACTCAACAGCTAAGATATATACAGGAGTCACTCTGTGTAGTGCCAAAATCACCACTTCACAATATTTTTATTTATGTGGCAATAAAAACTGTAGTTTGCTTATTTCAACATTCAGAGTGAAAGTGAATCACAAAGCACACTTCAGGAAAAACAGTAGAATTTGGTGCCAAGCTTCTGTGTGACAAAAGTCTTGTGCACCACAACACTTTGTAATGTCATGATGTCACATGGCAAGTTTGAACAGGAAAGCAGGTAGTCACATTGAGAACTGAATGCAACTTTTGTGCAATGCCTCCCAGTGTTTTCAGATTGGACAATTTTTATTGACTGACAGAAAATTTTGAAAATTTTTTGGGGTGACATTTTTTCACTTTGATCTTTCTTCAGTATTTATTTATCATACATTTAATCAAAACTATCAATGGACAATAGATTTCCACCACCCAAATAACACAATTTACCCAAAAATAAATAAAATACAATTAGAAATAAATAAAATTAACAAAGTAAAAAAATTTTTAAGAAAAAATATACAAAATGATAAAAAGAAATAAAGATCATATATTATGTAGAAAGTATTGACATAAATATTTATATTTTGTAAAATCTAAATCATAAAAATTTTGACATGACAGAACCTATGAAATACTGCATAAGGATTGTGATTAATGTGTTATTTGGAATTATTCATTAAAAAGTTATTCCTATTTCTAAGTGACAGCTTAACATGCACTTTACTTTCCATTCTCCAAACTGGTAAGGCTACCTGCATCTGCATTAATTTGTAAATAAAACTGGTGGCAATAATTGGAAGTGGCAAAAAACATTTTAAACTAGAGAAATGGTTGACAATTTTTTAAATTTTCCAGAGCAATCCTTATATATATATATTGGATTGTTTGGAAAGTAATTTCATTTTTTTACCATCAGAGGAATTAGTTGTATTTTTACTCACCAATTTCATTCTAAATCATATTGTCGTCAAATACCTGTTGTCATTGTTTCTGGTAGTAGCATGATTTCACATTCATAAAAGTTTTGATCGTTGCTTATAAAAAACTGATCCAAGTGATTTTTGACATTGTCATTTCAAGTAAATGTCTTACAGTTAAAAAAAAATTTGTATAGACCGGAACAAATAATAATCTGAGTGTGCTTGATCTGGCAAATATGGTTGGTGTGATAGCAAGTCCCATCTGAGTTATATAACAGTTTCTGACGAGTTACCAAACTTGTGTGAAATTTGACATTATCGTGGTAAAACACTACACCTGTTTTGTTGATCAATTCTGGCCACCTTTTCTGTTTGATGATATTACTCAATTTGTTTACTCGATGGCAGTACACTTTTGAATCAATTGTTAAATTGTCTGGTAAAAGCTCCAAAAAAATATTTCCTTAAAATCCCACCAAAGAGAGATGCTCTCTTTAAGAACTCGTGGAATTCATATATCAAGCTTTGAAACAAAACCAATTTGTTTCAAGTAATCATAAACAGTTCAATTTGACAGATTTAATCTCTTAGTGATTTCACATGTTGTTATTTGGCAGTTTGCTTCAATCAATACCTTTATTTTGTTTTCATTGGCTTCAACTGGCCATCCAAAATGTGATGCATTTTCAATATCGAAATTGCCAGAACAAAATTTTGTAAACCAGTTTTGGCACTGTCTTTCTCTCAACACATCATCTCCATACACGTCACACAATTTTTTTCTCACTTGAACAGCATTCTTACCTTTTTGGTAATAAAAGAGCAAAATATGCCAAAAATGCTGCTTTTGATCTTCTATATTTGATGGGACACAAAAAATAAACAATTGCACAAAATCAAACAAAATTTTTTACATATAATCCTTAAAATGCTAGCTGTCAAAATATATAATGATAATACAGTTTAGAATGAAAATGGCGGAAAAAATATGACTAATCCGTCTAGTGGTAAAAAAAACAAACTTACTTTCTGAACAACCCAATACATAATTATATAAACATATAACATACATAATTATATACAATTATATAATTATGTATGTTATATGTGTATACATAATTATATAAATTGATTTCAATTAAATTTCTAAGTTTCATCTTATTTTTAGTTAATCAATCTATTAGGTTTATAATTAACAATCTTGTTATATGCAAAATATGACTTTGACAATAAGGAAAAAGTTGGTTTCATTTAGTTTTGTTTGATGAAATACATCAATGTAACCCATGGGTGATCTGATGAGGAGGGATGTCTCTCAGGAGAACTTTCTATGGGAAACTGGACCATTTAGAAGTATACACACAAAGAATACCCAGAAAACACTGTGTGAGCAGCTCACTAGTAAGACATGAACCCATGATCAACTAAAGCATTCAGTGGTTTTATCCATTCACCCACTGGTAAGACCATAAAAAAAATTTTTGAGGGAGGAAGGCACTAACATTTGTATTAAGCACAATTTTAAATATAAACTTTAAATTACCTGAGCTTCACCCAAGCCAAGTTCAATGGAATCCAAATGTTTTTTAATGAGAGATGATTTCTCTTCCATCAAGTTGCTATCTCCTTTTTCTTGTTGAACAGCTTTTAAAGAAGAGAGAAGTCCGTTAAGAATAGAAAGATGCTCATTTTTTAGAGCTTCTAATCCCTGGATAACAGTTTTAGTATTGGTAATAATTTCTTCTTGAGTCATTTGAGTCATTTTGCCTATTGATTCAATTTTCTTCCTAAAAATGAAATCAAATTTTTTTCAATAAAATAATTTAAGAATCTGCATAGAAATATTAATAATTAAAATTCTGTTAGTATATTATCACCATAAATTCACCATTAAAGATATAAACTTTTATTCAACTAAACTATTAAAATTATTTTACTAAAAAACAAACAAATTAAAAGCAAAACTGTTCTCAATCAATATGCTTTGTGATCATTAATGAAATCCTTTTTAGGTACAGTAATACCCCGAACTTATGTGATAGGTGGGACCGAGCGATAACCATGTAAGTCGTGGTATAATTTCGCAATTTGTGCAAAATCCAAGTTGGATGTATATAAGCTAATAAATGTTCTCGTTAATCTTATCTCGTCTTTTGATTCGTTCATGGTTACAAGAAATCACCACATAGTCTCTCGAGTCTCCGTAGATATAACAAACACAGAAATAAATAACACAAAATAAATTGTAGCTATGTGTCGATTCCGCACAACATGTCCAACCATGTAAGCTGAACAATAGTGTGGGTGGAGTGAGTAATCGAGTTGTGTGGCTCTCAAACAAAAGACGAATCGACGAGATTTGAAAATCGTGTAACTCTGGGTTCGCGTATTATTGTACTTCACAAAAATGAAACTATATGCCCAAAATTGATCATTTAATTTATTTAACAGAATTAATTAAAGATCCAGAAACAAGTTAAAAAGAAATAATGTTCCTGTACATTTACTAAAAGTAAAAAATAAAATTTAAACAAATGCAATATTTAACAAGACTAAATTAGCATAAAAGCACATCAGAACATATTACAGTAATAATATATTTTTTAATTGCAATAAATTTCCAAGAATGAACTAGCCACTGTAAACTGATTAACCCTTTAGTTTTTTATATCAACTGTCACCAATAATAGTCCACTTCCCCTTGCTTCTTTAATCTGTCATATCTTCTTTCCTAACAGATACTGGCATTCCTCTTTTTAATCTGTTACACCTTAAGATAGTCCTTTACCAGGTCTAAAATGTTAGTTTTTCCTGCATCTTCACCCACTATTAAAAAGGTACAGTACATCAATTGGCTCAATAGATTAAATATTTTCCTTACAATATTCTTCTTTTACTTGTATAAAAGTAGGTAATCAGTGAAAATAGTTTTTATGCTAATTTTCAGTCTGATTCTGTTTAAAAAATTTTTATAAAATAACTAAATTCAAAGTAATTACAATCAATTTTCAACACCAGATTTGATAAGTCTAATATTACATAAATTGCATTAACTGTAATAAACATTTATTTTTACCATATAAAAATTTAACTTGAGATCACTGTTAAAAAAAATACTTATACTGAAATTTTTGGGTGTTTGTTAGTAATTCATATCTAAACAACAAAAATTTATTAATGTAAGCATTTTTTTAACGTAATTTCTACTCATTAAACTTAAAACAAAGCAGTTAATGTATGAGGCACCCATTTTGTTTTAAGGATAGATAAAGGATAAAAATTAAAATATAAAATGATTTAGTAAAGAATAAATTATAATGAAAGATTTTACCATTCGTTCGAAGTTATTTCTATCGAATTTTTATTTTATTTTATTTTTTATTTTTCCTAAGAGATGCATTCAAACTGTCAAGTACAGAAGCATGTTATGTATAACAAATGGACATCCTTTTGTATCTTAAAGATTACTTCGCGTTAGAATAAACTGAAAAGAAGCACTTTAGAAAAATTGAAACTCCAAACAGTATGAATTTCGCTCGGTCATGAGCTCGTGACTGTAGAAAATCATTATCACTCAATACCACCTCCCCTCGACCAATCACATCTCTCGTTCTTAAATATTTTAATAATAAATACGCCAATAACAAGCTTCAACTTTAAAAAAAAAATTGATTAGANAACTCTGTTGCGGTCGCGAACTACTTCTTGTCGCGAACTAAATTCTTGTAAATAGTCAACATTTCTGTAAGGCGGTAAATTGCCCGGAGCGTTAGCCCATGAAGACACTTCTGGACTAGCTGCCGAGACTACCAGTCGCCCCCTACGCTACGCTCCACGAACTGTGCTACCGCTCGTCATAAAAGCCAAAAACATTGTAAGATTGGAGTCAGAATTTAATCTACTACTAGTTAATAAAGATGCTATGTTTTTTATGTTACAACATGTTGGTTGATTTACTTTAACCGGGCAGTCGGGATACAAACCCGACAAGTTCCTTTTTATATGATAATAAATTACATCTACTGATAAAATTATTATATTATTGTACCAAAAATGATTTTCAAGCCAGAGCTAATCAGCTCTTGTTACTAATTCTCAACATTACATTCTGACTCAGTACCAAAATATTTGGTAAAGGTAACTTCCGAATCAAAAGATTCCTGGCCTTCCATCATTCTTTAAAATGTTCTAAGGCCAACTGCCAGAGTAGCTTGCCCAAGTTTATCTTCAATGTTAAAATACATAAACCAGAAGGGTCATTGCCTGTTGAGGAACAGTACATCTATTGTACATGTTCATATTTCTTGAAATGTAAAACTTACATTCAGGCTGCTTTGACAATGTAGACCAGACAATTCATACTTTCAGTTTTTGAATTTGAAATTTGATGTTCTAGTAGATTCAAGATCTTGATAGCTCAAACCAATTGATAAAACTTTTTGTCACATGACAAACAGGAAGTTTGGACAAAGGAGAATGTGAGAAAGCTTATAACTGAGTATCAGTTAAGATCTAATCTCTGAAACATGACTTCCAGTTATTACAAGAAAAGTTCTGGAGTTGCTCACAGAATTGGTGCAAGTATTCTAATGCTACATCAATGACATTAAAAAAAATGTACATATTCTCTGAACTTAGTATTTGGCTAATACTTGAAAATTTCTAAATAATAATAATAAAAGAATCATCCAAAAAAAAAAAAACATGGATGATGATAAAACTGAAATAAAATTAAAATATTTCAAATGACAAAGATAATAATTTTCAATCATTTAGAAAAAAACAGGTTGATTGCTTTGCAATGTAGCAATGACATTGACAAGAAATAAAATTTAAGTGTTTCAACGGACATTTTATTATTAATTTTTCTCCCCATGAAAATGTGAGTAAAATTAGTGTAAAATAATTTAAAGTACTTCTCTTATATATCTATTTTAAATTTTGTACTGGCAAACTCAATTTATGTAGTTTTCCCATGAATTCTAATTGGATTTTGTTAACTTAACACACTTCAAAATTTTTATAGAGAAGGGTGTTAAATACATCTGAAACACATTAACATTGAAAACAAATTGCTGGAGAAAAAGATGAAGTATGTTAATTAATTATTATAAATTTTTTTACTGCCTAACCATGTAGAACAAAAACTCTGCATAAATGAAGAGTGAAATGCCTCCTGAACAACCAATGTGCTTCATGTAGAAGTAATTTAGAGATATCTCCAGGTTTTATTGCCTTGCATAGCTTTTCAAATAAGCATAACTGAAACATCCTCAATTTTATATAGTTCTAGTTGAAGCTGGTTTCGTAGTGTTACTAGTTACTTTTAAATCATCTGGCATGGTTTTTGATACTAATGCTTCTGTATGAAGGTTGCAATTAGGCTACATTGCATTTGAACTAACTTCATTACTTTAAATCAAAAGACTGCTAATTTTTTCTGCATAGCTTAAACATATATTCTAATGCATTTCATTCAGTTCAGATCTTTCACTTTTATGCACATATTGAAAAAATTGAGAATCTCCTTGTTAATACCCAAATAACTGGTTCACAACATAACATATTTTCATGTAGTTTGCTGTTCCATAAACGATATAAAAAGTCTATCCCAGTTGCATATCTAAAATGATCGGAAGAGATTGCTTCTGAATATAATAAATTTTATAAAAATAATACTTTTCTTATTTGAAGCATAGACTAAAATGAGATTAAATTCTCCTGAGCATAATGAGGTCAAAAGATATGTTATTTCAGATCTATGTTTAGCTTATTCTCTTATTATTTCAAATTTATTTAACACTAATTCAAAAGAACAAAGTTTTGCAGTTAATTGCAAAGAGAAGATGACCTAAGAGAATTAAAAAGAAAGAATTCATTTGTATTAAATCAGTTAAGCATAGAATCCATATCCATTGCAAAATAAATCTAAGGATAAATTTATTATATCAATCTAACATCCATGAGCAATACATTAATTTAAACTATCTTGTAAATTTTGTAGTACATTATTCTTTTTCAGAAAATATATTACTGATATTAATAAGTTTATTTCATAAATTTGGTTATATTCTATCTGTTAGATTCAAACTTGATTTTATAAAACTTCTTAAAAATAAAACACACCTTCAACACATTTAGAAAAATCAACCATCATCATCAAATAATAAGTATATTTTATCCCTTTACAACAATCCTGATGGCAATACTCCAGCCAACTACATTGATATGACATGAAAATTTAACTTTTAGTTTAAACACCATCAAATCAGTTTTAAAAGAATGCTTTATTATTTTATGGAATAGCTCCAAATTATTAGCTTCCTGTTCTGAATCAAAGAGTATATTTTCTTAAACAATGCTAATATATCAGAACAATCCTTGCTATCAATCATTAACAAGATTAGTGAATGTGACTTAAAAAGGCTTAGTATCTCAACTATTTTACCTTCAATTACTATTTTTACAATATATTACTTTATGCATTTTTTATTTTTATTCATCACTCTAATTTATTAAAAATTTATTGCTTACATAAGAATTTACAGTATTACACTTTTAATTTAAAAAGTTCTTATTTCATTTCACACTCAAGAATTCAGTTTTATTTTCTCCTGATGAGATTGCAAATATATTAATTAAAACTACTTCAAAATACAGTTTTTTTTTCTCATTTTTCAACTTTTTTTTTTATTTTTAATGACAAAAGATATTTATAAAACTATCATTCTAATATCAATATAAAGCTGAAAACCAAATTATAATGAACCAAACTAATATGTTTTTATCATTTTGTACCTCGTACTTTCATTATCAGACTAAAGAAGCAACGAATCTTACATGTGAAGTATTTAATTCCCCTGAAATTGTGTTTTTTTTTTATTCAATGCAAAAAATTTAAACTTAAATGTTTAATGATTAAAATTTTTAAGAGTTTAAAATTACAATTCTTAATAATTATACAGCTTAATCATAACAGATGATGATATTAGCATCACAAATGAACTAAGAATTTACTGAGAGAGAAAACTTTCATTATTATGTGGTGAGCACGTGGATGGACAACACAAAGAAAGTGGTCTACAACAAAAGTTTTATTGTTGTTCGTGCAAGTATACAATATTCTCAGTGATCCCAACTCCGATACATACAACTCGCGTAACATATAATTATATCGGAAAGAGAGTGCAACAGTACTTCGCGACAATTTAAAACTGTACTTAACCTAACTTAACCTAATCTATATACTAAATGAGACAGTAGAATGAAGGGAAAATATTAATATTAAGAATAAGAGAAATAAGGGAAGACTGCTGCTGGGGTACCCGTGTCTCTTCTTTTTCTTCAGAGTCCACTCACATTGATGAAAATGAACTACCGTGATCTTCCTTCCTTCCCGTGATGTCTCGCTCTCGTTGTCCTCGAATCGCTCCCTTCTCCTTCGTTACGGCGACCAGGATCTCCTCGCACTGTCCATCCTCTCCCAACGCTAGCTCCAAAGTCCCCCTCACCCTTTCTCTCCTTGCCTCGGGGGCTTACTTCCACACCCTTGTTTTTCGTTGTAGTTCTCGGAAATGTTTTACCACCAGCAGGGAAACAGGACCGTTAGAAAGTTCGAGAAAGTGTTAGACAAAAGATCGAGGAAACTTAATCATAGGCTTAATACAAAATACAAATATAAAAAAAAAACAACTGGTGTATCACCACATATGCCCCCCCAAGTCTCAAACACCGTAATGTAACTTACGGTAGTCAAGTTTGCACCCACGGAGATTGTACGGGTGTTGTTTTATCACAGAACTGCCATCATGACCAGTTCCCTTATCGTTATTAACTTCAGGTTCACTTGATCGGTGGTTGCCTTCTTCCGCTCTTTGTCTTCTGTTAGATATCTCCATCCTCAAGTGTTCGTATGGATCTCCTTCTTCCAACTCATCTTCGTCTACGGGTGTTTCCCTTATTTCCCGACGTTGCGGAGCTCGTTTCGTCTTGTCTTTATACACTGGAGCATAGTAGGCCTTTAGGCGATCAATGTGTACTACCAGTTTTTCTTCCCTACGATTACCACTCAGTTCTACTGTTACAGGGCCTAGCAAACGAACAATTCTATACGGCCCTACATATTTTGGGGAAAATTTCCCTGTTCCCTTCCATTTACCTTTCTGGAGCAACCACACCTTTTGACCTTCTTTCCATTCTTTAATCCTTTTTCCATTGTTTTCTCTCATTCTGTTTTTTAAGTTCCGCTTTCTCTCCAATTCGTATGCAGTCTTCCTTAACACATTCAATTTATCGACAAATTCAGGACTCCTCTCTTGGTGACTGATGTCCTCCTCATCTTCCTTGCATTCGGAATGCATTCGGAAAACGGGGATCAACCCCGTATAAGAGAAAGGCAGGGGAATCCCCCGTAGCCGAATGAGTTGAGTTGTTATAAGCGAACGTGGCCGGGTGGATAAAACTGTCCCAATTACAATTGTCACCCATCGATATCCAGGCGATGATTCCACATATCGTTTTGTTAAAGCGTTCACATACAGAGTTTGAGGATGGGCGATAGGCGGTCGTAACATTGTGCTTTATAGCCAGATCATCACATATCCCTTGGAACAAACCCGAAGTAAAGTTTGCCTCTCTGTCAGATATAATGACATTAGGGCAACCATAACGACATATAATATTGTCAAAAAACTTTTCAGCAATTTCCTTAGATGTTTGATTTGGGACGGGGATTGCCTCAGAATAACGGGTGTAAATATCGACCACGGTTAATATGTATTTATTCCCCTTCTGGGACGTTCTTAGTGGGCCTATGATGTCAGTGGCTACCTTCTGAAAAGGGAAATCAGCAGTTTCAGTTTCCTGAAATGGAGCCCGGCCTTTGTTTAGGTTATGCTGCTGGCAAGTTTTGCAATCCCTGATTACATGTTTGACATGACTTTTTAAATTTTTTATATAATAATACCTATCAGTTATGTGACATGTTTTCTTGACTCCGAAATGGCCAGATAGGTTGGAGCTATGGAAGGACCATATGACACGATCAACCATATCCCTTCCCACACACACATGGGCCCACTTCCTAAGCCCCATCCTACCTGGTTTCACATTCATAACAATATCACCGTCTATCTGGAATTCAGGCTGGATTTCGTTTATAATCCCTTGACCATTAGTCCTTTTACAATTTTTACGCAACTTTATTAAGAATTCATCCCTCTTTTGTGACTCTACCACTTGCTTCCACAATTCCTTATTGTCAATCATGTTGCTACTCACGTCTTTCTCTAATCTCTTATTACCCAAATTAGGACGTGATAACATGTCAGCAACTTCATTACTCTTTCCTTTTATATGATTGATCCTTAAATCATAATTCGTTATTTCAGTTGCCCATCGCATTAATCTTTTATTGTGATTGTTCATATTATTTAAAAATATGAGGGGCTTGTGGTCAGTATACAAATTAATTTTATAACCTAACACGATTGGTTTAAAATGACGCACTGCCAAGATTATTGCAAGACATTCTTTTTCAATTGTGGCATAGTTCTTTTCGGCCCCGTTGAACTTACGGCTAAAATATCCTATAGGGTAAAACTCCTCGCCCTCCTTTTGTCCTAGGACGGCACCCATGCATTCATCGGACGCATCGGTGTACAATTCGAAGGGGGAATTAAAGTTCGGATGTCTTAACAGAGGGGGACTTGACAATATGCATTTAAATTCTTCAAAACTTTTCTGGCAATCCTCGTTCCATGAGAATTTTCTCCCCTTTTTAGTTAAGTTCGTCAAGGGTAGGGCAATGCCTGAAAATCTGGGTATGAAACTTCTGAAGAAGCCCACCATGCCTAAAAAACTTCTTACTCCCTTTACATTAATGGGGGGTTTCATATTTAATATGGCGCTGACATTACTACTGTCGGGACGTATCCCCTCTTGGCTTATAATGTGGCCCAGGTACTTTACTTCACCTACAACAAACCAACTTTTCGTAGGGTGTAATTTTAGGTTATTCCTATTCAGAATCCCTATGACTTCGTCAAGTGCCGTTACATGATCATCTATGGATTTGGAAAACACAACAATATCATCTTGAAAAACATAACAACATATCCCTATAAATCTTGCTAAAATTTTTGACATAATCGCCTGAAAAAAGCGGCCACTATTTTTGGCACCCTGTGGAAGTCGGCACATCTGAAATTTCCCCCACGAGGTGGAAAAGGCGTACACGTGTCTAACAGATGGATCTAGATTTATTTGACAATACCCTGATTTTAAGTCCAATACAGAAAAGTACTTGCACCCATGAAATTTGGTCAGAATTTCATCAACGCGGGCTATAGGGAATTCTTGGGACTCTGTTAGGTCATTTACCCGCCGGAGATCTAATGTCATCCTAATGTCGCCATCTTCCTTTTCAATGATGTGTATCAATGAGTTCCATGCGGAGGAACTCTCCTCCGCATGGAACTCAATGATTATTTAAAAGCAGGGATCATCGAGGAACTCTCCTCGATGATCCCTGCCTTTAAATAATCATTGATTAGCGACCTTAACCCTTTTAAGTAACACTCAGGGATCCTATACTGACGTGTACTTATCGGTCTGGTTTGATCTATAACGGGTTTATGCGTTTCACCTATCATACCTGTCAACTCTTCTATCGATTCAGCAAAGCAGTTGGGATGTTTCCTAAATATATTATACACGCGATCTTTTTCCTCAATCGACAAACCGTCTAGCCCTTGAATTGCCAAGTGTTTAACATTACTAAAATCGTCATACGGACTCATGAGTCTTTCATGGTTTGTAACAGTACCTTGTACAGCAATCCTGACCTTCTCGATGATTTTGTATACCTTGCGCACAATATCCATTCCCAGTACCCCATCATAATCTACATGTCTAGGCAGTTTCATACATGCGACCGTCACTTTGTTCGATTGGTTATCATAATCAATTTCCGCATGTATGGTTCTTTCACATTCTGTCACTTCACCCGTTATCCCCCTTATTCCTAACATTTCACCTTCGATAGTTGCCCTAACCACGCTCCTTTTTGGTATGCAAGTGATGGCTGCTAAATTCATTATCGACTTTTCACCGCCCGTGTCAATGAGGAAGCACAATTTTATCCATTGATCATTCCCTCAACAATTGGGAGTCCCTTGGGTGACAAATATACCTCATTAGCCAGTCTTATTTTAATGCAAGGAGCCTCATGCTGGCCCGTTTGACGCTCCTCTTTTAGTTTAACGGTCTATCCCTATGATCTGGGCAATTCCGCGCGAAATGGCCTTCCTCACCACACGTGTAACATTTCCTATCAGTAACCCTTCTTGCCTTATCCTCTTTATTCAACAGCATACTAACTGCCTCAACTAGTGTATCAAGTTTCTTCTCTAATCCTGACATCCTTTCACCTATCTTATCCTTTTGAGTTTCTATACCTTCACATTTCCCTCTCATCTCGTCAACTTCCTCCTTGACTCCCATATTCACTCCCTTGTGTTCAAAACGACTATCACTATACTTCTCTATATTCTCTTCGCGTTCAGCGATGTCGAAAGCTTCTTCCAACGTTTTTGGGGCTCTCCTTAACACGTTCTCCCTTATGTTACCTCTTAGGCCTTGTATAAAACGCTCCATAATTATATCATCACGGAACATGCTTAACTTATTATTCCCTTTAACTGCCCTGGCTAATAACGTCTTCGTCCGAACCGAAAAATCGGTCACAGATTCACCATTCCTCTGTCTTATGTTTAAAAGTTGGTCAACTATAATTTTACCACTGTCCTCTTTTTTGCTAAAACATTTAATTAAATCCCATTTTATTTCATCATACGACCCAGGATATTGTTCCAGGAGGCACATAAACGTAGTTAGGGGCTCACCCTTCAATTTTGCTTGCAACACAGCAACTTTAACATTATTGCCCCACCCAGCTAAACAGGCAATATTTTCGATGGTATTGAAGAATTGTTTTATATTTATATTATCATTCTGAGTTCCCGAAAACATGGGAATCATACCTAAGAACCCTGTAATAATTAATGGTTGGTTTTGGCTTACATTCTCGGTTACCACCGAACTTCCGATTTGGTTATCCATACTTGGTACACAATATGATAATATTACAATAAGTAACCTAACTAAACCGATTATAAATTACAATATGTATCACTTACGTACATAGACTAAAGACCGTGCACCTCTATTATTGTTGGGATCCTGTCGCGGACGCCATTGTAGTGAGCACATGGATGGACAACACAAAGAAAGTGGTCTACAACAAAAGTTTTATTGTTGTTCGTGCAAGTATACAATATTCTCAGTGATCCCAACTCCGATACATACAACTCGCGTAACATATAATTATATCGGAAAGAGAGTGCAACAGTACTTCGCGACAATTTAAAACTGTACTTAACCTATCTTAACCTAACTTAACCTAATCTATATACTAAATGAGACAGTAGAATGAAGGGAAAATATTAATATTAAGAATAAGAGAAATAAGGGAAGACTGCTGGTGGGGTACCCGTGTCTCTTCTTTTTCTTCAGAGTCCACTCACATCGATGAAAATGAACTACCGTGATCTTCCTTCCTTCCCGTGATGTCTCGCTCTCGTTGTCCTCGAATCGCTCCCTTCTCCTTCGTTACGGCGACCAGGATCTCCTCGCACTGTCCGTCCTCTCCCAACGCTAGCTCAAAAGTCCCCCTCACCCTTTCTCTCCTTGCCTCGGGGCCTACTTCCACACCCTTGTTTTTCGTTGTAGTTCTCAGAAATGTTTTACCACCAGCAGGGAAACAGGACCATTAGAAAGTTCGAGAAAGTGTTAGACAAAAGATCGAGGAAACTTAATCATAGGCTTAATACAAAATACAAATATAAAAAAAAAACAACTGGTGTATCACCACAATTAAAAAATTTAGGTAGGTTATTTTAATAATAATTGCTTATGTTAATGAGTTTTTTACTCAGATAATTGATAAAATAATTTAATATTTACTATCAACTGTACACACACATGTATCTAGGAACATCTTACTAATTAAAAATTCACTCTGTGAATAATAAATTTTTAAAAATTTAATTTTTAAAATGGATCAAAAGTTACATATACGTACTTCTCACTTTACGACCTATCTGCTTAATGACCACTCACACTTATGACCTATCGAGTTTCAATCTGCAATTTGGGAAATCCCCTTTCTCAGCTTGAGTGCCGATCAGTGGCGATTGGTGACATTCTCACTGAGCATAGTATAGGCTTGCTATGGACTTTTTTAGTCAGTTTGATGTAATTTAAACAATTGCGGGTCTTGCCAATGCGCTTAATTTAGATGTTGAAGTGGAAGACATTGCTGAATTAGTGGATTATGCCGATGGAGAGCTAACAAATGAAGATTTAATAGAGTTAGAAGCGATGCAGTATTTGAAAGAGAAAGAAGACGAAAGAACTGAAGAAGTGAAAAAGAAATTCATGTTACATGGGTTAGCTGGTGATTTCTCCAAAATTAATGCGGCTATGTTGAAACTTGAGGCTAGTCCAAATACTAAACATTTTAATAAAGTTGAACATGGAATGAGTGAACTTTTGAAGTGCTATAGAGAAATTTATCAAGAAAAAAAAAATTACAATGCAAACCACAGTTACAAGTTTCTTTTCGACTGTTACATCCAAGACCTTAGCCCTCAAAGGTACAACTTTTATTTCATCGTCATCATCTCCTTTACCTGGAAAAAAACCTCTACAGATCCAGATAACCAAATAAACAAATGATAATATGTACGTACATATGCATATCTTTTTATGAATAAATTTGAAGTTTGTTGCATAATTTTTATAATTTTACAACGATCTTATATTCCTGACTGCAAGCTCCTCACTTATCAACCAATTCGCTTAAAGACGTAGTCATAGGAACGGAACTCGGTTGTAAAGTGAGGAGTACCTGTATTAGAATTTTCTGCTTATAAAAAAAAAACTCAAAGAAAGCCTAATAATTTACAAACTTATCAAGTTGTTAATAATAGTTTGATACTTGCTATGTTCACTCCTGTTGAGACTGAGTTAATGGTGCATGCACAATTTTGGTGACATATCAAGAAGCCAATATTACAACAATGAACTTACATGTATAAAACAAAAAACTGACACTGAAGATCTGAATATTAGTAAACAATACCAAACAGCAAAAGGAGTTTAAATTTCAAGCTGTAGTAGATAGTCTTCAAAACAATGGAAAGAATATTTTGACTTTAAGAATAATTTTACATAAATTTAATTTTTAATTAAAAAGGAACAACTAGCATCTTTCAACAATTTTTTGAAATTTTATGGACTCCTATGAGAAGTCTGTAGCATACTGATTAAGAACCACTGCAGTAAATACCTTTTCATGACGAAAAAACTAAAATAATATAAATAAATAATGCCTTTTTAATGGTCCAGCAAAAACATTTAATTCTCTAAGAATGTTTTCAACCGATTTTAGCAGCCTTCATCAGTTATTCCAATATTAAAAAGAACAAAATATTCAAACCTATGTAATACAAAATTAAATAAAATTAAACTGCGTTTGCACAGAACAACAGAAAAAACCACTTGTAGGTTATTCATATTACAAAAACATAAAATAAAAAAGTAAACAAATAAATTTAAATAAATAATAGTGCCATCAACGTGGATACATATATCAACTTGTGTTATTATAAAATGATTTCCAAGCAGTGGCTAATCCCTCTGCATCTCTGTGATTAATACATTCCGTGGCTATATGCGCTTTATGTATTTCTATTTTTTCAAGATGCCTCACCACCTGTAAAGGTCTCATGGCCCTAATGATTGCCGCACGATCCCAGTATACGGTTACATCCTGTTGTTTGGCAAATGCCACCAGAACTATACTATCGATGTTCCTACTCACAGAATATTTGTGTTCATTTATCCTTTGTTTTAAGTTCCGCATAGTTACCCCCAATATACACGAGGTCAGAATTAAACCGACGATCCTTTATAGGTATAGAACCTAGGTGGGGAACCTGCGGCCTCCGCGAGGTTCTTGTGCGGCCCTTTGCCACCTAGTACAAAATGGTAGAGTTCGTTTCAAACAACTATTGTACATCAACGCCATGACAGTTACGCGAAAAATCCCGCCAAAGACAGTCATATTGTAACATGACGTCAGAATACTAGTCTGAAACGGACTCTAACACGCATGAGCGAGGCTCTGGCCCACAGACCATCCGTTTCAGACTTGGACACTCAATGTTAATTTTTTAAACAGTTTTTTTTCGTTTAGTAACTAAACGAAAAAAAACTGTTTAAAAAATGTTAATTTTTTAAAAAACTGTTTAAAAAGCGCTAGCAGCGCCAACTACCTTGTCTAAGAAGTAAACAAAACTCGGTTTCAGATCTCCCATTTGAGTGTCACACCTTGCTTTGGCTTCTCTGACTCGCATCTCTCAACGCTTCCCTGTTGCGATCTTCAGCAAACTGTAGTTAACAGTGAGTGCTTATAACAGTTACACGGTTTTATTGTATTTCTAGAAAGTATACACTTTGTTAAAGATATTATTTGATATTCGTTTTTTTATCCATCATGTCAAATAGTAAGAGAAGAAAATTAGGTGATGAAAACAGAACATTTAATGTAGAATGGGAGTTAGATTTTTTCTTTACTGCTGAGAAAGATAAAATGATGTGTTTGTTGTGCAATACAGTTTTAAATACTTTAAAAAAAGCGAATGCAAATAAACACTATTTGACTCATAAAGAACATAAATATTTCGCTTTAGAAGGTGAATCACGAAAAGCTGCACTTCAAAAGTTGAAAAATGAGAAGCATCATCAGCAGGCATCTTTTAGTGCCTTTGTAAATCAAAATTCCGCTGCAGTTGCTGTTACGTATAAAATAGCACATATACTTGGAAAAAGGGGCAAACCATTTAGTGACATTGAAATAATTAAAGAATGTATTGTTGAAGCAGTGAGTATGTTAGATCCAAGAAATGTCGACAAATACAAACAATTACCTCTTTCAAGAAGAACTGTAACAGATCGACAGCACGAATTAGCGCAAAATGTAACAGAGCAACTTCATACAATTATACAAAATGAAGATGTTTATTTTTCAATTGCTTTAGATGAAAGCACTGATAAAACAGATTCGGCACAAGTTTTATATTTTATTCGTGCTATAACTAAAGATTTTCAATGTTACGAAGAACTACTTGCGTTGGGTACACTAACTGGAAGAACTCGAGGAGCCGATATTTTCGAAAACTTCAAAGAAGTATGTAATAAATTACAATTGAATGTCAGTAATTTAGTCAGTGTCTGCACCGATGGCGCACCTTCCATGAGAGGCAAAAAAGAAGGATTCGTTGCTTTGTTAAAAAAGGAAAACTTAAACTTGAAAAAATTGATATCATTTCACTGCATTTTGCATCAGCAAAATCTTTGCGCAAAATCTACCATTTTGCAAGACACTCTGGATAGAACCATTGCCATTGTCAACTATATTCGCGTAAATGCAATGCGTCATCGTGAATTTCGGCAGATGCTCTCTTTAGATGAGGAAACGTATAGTGTTGACCTACCATACTACTGCAAGGTTCGCTGGCTATCAACAGGTCAGGTTTTGATAAAAGTTTTGTCTTTACGACGACAAATTTTAAACTTTTATCAAGAACAAGGAAAACAATGTGATCTATCAGATGAAGTATTTCTCAGAAACCTTGCATTTTTGTCTGATATGATGACAAAACAAAACAATTTAAATATTTGCCTGCAAGGTGAAACGAGGTATATTTATGAAATGTGGCAAAAGATCCAAGCGTTTAGAAAAAAATTATCATTTTTCAAAACATTGCTTTGTCGATCGGAAATATCTGCACAACACTTCCCGGAGCTAGCTAAAATGTTAAATGAGCAGAACTGTGAAAATAAAATATTCGATGAATATGTAGGTGTCTTGGATTGTTTAATAGAAGAGTATACTAATAGATTTTCTGATTTTGACGAGCACACTCCTGCTATGAAACTGGCATTTGAACCACATTTAATAGATATATCCGAGGCTCCTGCAGAACTACAAATGGAGTTAATTGATTTAGGGGAAGATAGTATCATCAAATCCCTTTTTAACGCTAAAAAGGATCCCATAGAAATCTGGAAAAATGCTGTTGAATATCCATGCCTTCGAGAACATGCTCGCCGTT